GAGTAATAAATTATTCCAAAGATTTTGCCTATGACATTGTCAATAACAAATCTTTGACATTATCTTTTAACTTATATCAAAATTGATTAATAAAGGATTTTTCATTCCATTCTATAAAAGCGAGGTTTTGGAATTTAGCAACATATATTTAATTTAACTCTAAACCTTCAAAACACAACAATAGAAGTAGGATAATCTATTCATTTCTAAAACAAAGGAGAAACAGTAAGTCATCACTCTTATCAAATTGTCAACGACATGAATCTTGAAGAAAATAAATCTTCAATATATTCTTGTGTTATAGAAAAGAACTGGAAAGTCACTCAAAGATGATATAATATTAAACTAAAATGGCTATTACCAAAAACAAGAAAACTAAAAAATCTTGAAACAAGACTAAGGACTAAAAAGGTATTAGCAAGAGTGAAAAAGGCTCATGCTGGAGATTTGGATTGGCATATGAATTTCTTGGCTAGATTCTCTTCAATATACTCCTTGAATTTGACTAACACATTTTACAAAAAATTATAGATTGGTTTAGGGTTTAGGGTTTAGGGTTTTAGGGTTTAGGGTATAAATGGCAATTGTGCTCTTTTTTGAAGGTCAATTAAGCAATCATAGGGACCATGTTTTGAAAGAATAATTACATTTTTTTTCTCAAATACATCTTATAAATCCTAATATTTTCTTGGAATACCACTTCAAATCTTTACACCATTAGAAACTAATGTGACATAAATAATACAAGGTGATCTTTCTTTTGTAGCATGCAAAAAAGATCTTGCACTTACAAACATAGGTTTAATTGTAGTAGACTTATGATTTTCTACTTGATTAATTACACTCTTGGTTATACTTTTAAAAAAGTCAAGAATACGAGAAATCCAATCTATTCAAAGATTGTATTTTTTTAACCACGATAAACTTAAAATGATTGGATTAGAAGAAGATCTAATGATATTAAATACCACAAAGCAATTATGACCATTGATTATTACTTTTATAGGAAGGATTTTGTGAGTAACATCTCCAAAAGATAACGGGCGACCATCTATGACTTCTATATGAACATATTTAGTTTTTCTTACTAAAGATATGTTAAGTCTTTTAGCAAATTCTTCATCTAAAAAATATGTTGAGGCTCTTGAATCTAATAAGGCAAAGGCTTTGTAATGTATAGGTCCTAAAATAATATTTATTGTAAAACAAGGAGAGGGTTCTGAGAAGAAAATAAGACCTTCATTAGGTATTGTATAAGATTCCAGCTGCACAACCCCTATTGTAGCTGGACATACTCATTTTTTGATATATTGTCTTCTTTGACATTTGTACTCTTCATTCTATAATTTTGTTGCTTCTTTGAACAATGTTGAGCATTGTGCTTAGATTTTTTATAATATAAGTACAATCCTTCCTAATGGAGGTGAGTCTTTTTTTGTTCACTAAGAGATTTGAAACATACCACATTAATTTGCATATCTTCTACTTCTGAATGTAGGTGTTGAGGAGGCATTGGTATTGCCATTGAATTATAGTAATGTTGAGGCCGAGTTTTCTAACTCTTAGATCAAAATTCAAAAAGTTGATTGTTACACTTCATAGCAAAGTCGATTGCTTAACTCAATGTATGAGAATTAGGTAAGTTGAGCATCAATTTCTTTACCTCATATTATAATCTATAGAAAAATTGGTTAATAAGTGTAGCATCATCCCACTTGATATCAGTTGTAAGTTGTCAAAATTTTGAAGCATATAATATTACGGATTAATTGCCTTGTCACAAAATATGGATCTTGTTGGTTGTAACACAAGTAGTGTCATGTTCACCATACATAGATCAACACTCTACTAAAAATTCCTCTAAATTATCCAATATTGGATCTTATTGTTCAAAAAAAGATGAAAACCACGATAATGTTGAATTTGAAAGAAGTGTATCAATGAATCTAACTTGTAACCTTGGAGTTGGATAACTTTGGCATTGAAGTTCAATCACAAGTTATACTTAATTATTAAATCCTCAAAACTCGGACCTTGTACCATCAAACTTCTTTCGTAAGGCAAGTCTTGATTCCCTAATATGAGAAGGATGTTCCATTGTAGGAGAAAGGATATGATTAGGTGTAGATGTTGAAGCAGCTCCAATCATATCTATATTTTTACTTTCTGCAATTCTTGTTGATCTTTATGGTCGTAAACTGAGTTGATGCATCGCAAGCATTAACTCCTAAAATTGTTCTTACATTTGTATTATTGCACTCTTCATTTCAACAAGCACTGCAATGATAATACTTGGAAAATAAATATCTAATATTGCTCAAGACAAGCAAAAGATGGGACGTTGTCGTATTACGTGCTTTCCTGCTCGAGAATGCGTCGGGCGTCTGGCTGTAGAAGGTAGTATGGAGATCCGCTAACATTCAAGCAGTCTATCGGTTTTTGACTGTTGGAATATAAACAACTGCAAGAATACACCGTAAATCTATTTAGATGTCCTTCGACTGCTCGCCGAAGTCCTTTTTGCCCCAGCCGGTAGGTCTCTAAACGTTACAGAGAACCACAAACAACCCAAACTGCTAATCTTTGATACCGCTTTATACTCACGATCTTATATCCAGTGACTGTCATGTTAGATTAATCCAATAAATTTCATTCACTCCGCATACTCGATCCTATAGACACCCTTTTAATTCTTCAATCACAAACGTAACTTCGATTTCACAAAACAGTCAAGAATAATCACACCCACTTCATTAAAATCCCGATTCACCAGTACAGCACTGACTTCAGCAACGATTGCCTCAGTCTTCCCAAAAACCTATGAAGAAAAAAAAATCCAATTCTCTGTCTTTTTTCCCCGCTCCGAAGCATGAAGCTAGCTCTTCGACCCTTCTAAAAACCTTTCCTTTCTTAACCTATCCTCTCCTTTAACCCTAATTCTCCCCTCTCTCAAATCCTAGCCTCTGAATTTCTTCAATCTTCCGTCTTGGATCTGGAATTGGCTCCCGTCGTCAGAGCTTTCTCCTCCGTTTTTACCTTTAAGAGATCCTTTTATCGAAAGGACGTTCCCGGAATGGCACAAAGGACGGAACACCCTGAAACGGAATCGGAGCCCCATAATCGGGACCACATTGAGTTGCCCGACCAATTCAGGTCTCGTATCGACTAAGAGGCCCGTAGTAAGACCTGGATGTTCCCGTAATTGGGTCAAATTGGTCCTTCGCGTCAGATTGGCTAAGAGGCCCGTAGTAAGACCTGCCGAACAATTCAGGTCTCGTATTGGCTAAGAGGCCCGTAGTAAGACCTGGATGTTCTCGTAATTGGATCGCATTGGGTTGCTCGACCAAGTCAGGTCTCATATTGGGTAAGAGGACCTGGATTGGATGTCTTGAAATTGGATCCAATTGGCTCTTCGAACCAGGCTCACCCGTCGTTGAATTGGTCCTTTCTCTTTCTGCTGACTCCCGTTATTGGAATCGAACAGAGCATTTCAGTATGCCCCGGCTGACTGTAACGGGCTGACTGAACCTAGCCTCTCAATATTTGCACTGGAATTGGTCGTTGCTCCCAATATTCGAGGTAACTGAACATTAATAAAAGTCCCCTTTCTTTATATTTTCACGGTATACTCGTGTTACAATACGACAACGTGAGAACAAAAAAGATACTAAGAACAATATTAGTTTAGAAGACGGTAATCCGCAACTTCTAATATGCTTATATCTTATCAAGAAAAAGAAGTAATCCATTCTTAATAAAGAGAAGACAAAGCACTAATATTATAAGTATACTCTTGTCAATCTGTCAAGGATATGAACTAGAAAAAGATGCATAAACATGGAAAATTTGTATGAAAAGAAAAGTGAAAAAATAACATACTAGAAGATATTATAGAATTAATCTATTTTTACCTACTATTATCTAATCATATAGGTAATTATTGGTTTACATGTATATGTCATTGGCACACCTATTGCAAATCCAAGGTTTTTTCATAGATTGAAGAACAATATCAAAGAGTAAACTTGCTACAATATGTTAGACTATTGTTTTTAGGTGATTTAGATAAATAATAAGTATTTGAGGGTTTTTTTAAAGTTAGAGGTTTTTATAATAGATACTTCACTAAATTATATATATATATATATATATATATATAATCTTTTATTAAATTAGATTTAAATTATATTACAAATCAAGCTTATTATTTTAAAAATATAATATTATTATTTATTTTATCATTTGGATTTATATGTATCAAAGTAAACTATTAAATTTTAGTAGAAATTGCTATATTTTATAACTTCTAAAAATATTATATTAAAATTTAATTTATTAAATCAAAATAAAAAATATATTAAGAATATATCTATTACTACAAATATTATTTCATTATAATGATTGAATTATATTATATTAAAATATCTTATAATTTTTTAATAGTATTTCTTAAACTTTCTAAAAGCTCATTTATAATCTTTTTATATCATTTTTTTATTTAAAAATATTAAAGAAAATTTCTATAACTTATTAGAAATTCAAGTATGTGTATATATATATATATATATATATATATATTTAAAATATATAAATATAAAGTAAATTTTAAATTTTATAATTTTTATAATTTTTTTATATATACATATAAGTATTAAATAAGTATTAAATATTACATAATTAATTTTAAATAAACACATATAAATAGAAAAAATATCAATTTAATTCTTTGAAAATAAGAATTAATTTTATAATTATAAATAGTTTTTAAAATATTTTATCCTATTTTTTTTAGTTATTGTACGAGTCTTATGTGAGGCAAAGTGGCACGTGGGCGAGAACGAAAGTTTCAAGAGAGCCAAAGGCTTCCACGAAGGCCCTGCCACCGTGGAATTTCTATCGTTGGCGTCTGGCACGTAGATTCCCCGCGGTGGGCGCCGATCGACACGCGTCCCCCTAGTAGTGTGCTGTTCACACTGGAGGCCAACAAGCGTCATCTGGCACTCTCGAAGGGAAAGGGAAACGGGGAAGGGAGGGTCGGTTTTCAGGGCCTTGTTGCGTCGACACTGGTGTCGTCATTGCTGCCCTTCCTTCGCACGGCGCTGCGGCCTCTCTCGCTCCTTCACCATGCTCCCCTTCCGCTCTGTGGAGGCACACTGCGATGGTACTCACCCAACTGTCGATGCCACCGTCCTCCTGCACGATTCCTGCCATGCTCCCTTTGCCACTCTCTCTGACTTTTACGCGTCTGGAATTTGGGGTTTACTGGGGCTTTCGGGAAGTGTGGCAGTCGCGTTGTTTGATTTTCGTCTCGCCACTGTTGGATCGATGTTTTCTTCTACTTCTTCTACTTCTTCTTCTTCTTCTGCGTCGGAGGGTTGTGGATGTGGCGAAATATGATATTTGTGTGTTTCTGCAGTGGGAGTCCTACACCGAGACGGGTTTGGTTGACGTGACTACCACAGTGGGAAAATCTCCGGAGGGGCTAGCTGAGATGGAAGCCCTGAGTGAAGGTGGTTTCGGAGGTGGAAGTGGATTACAGCATCCAACGCTGTTGTGTTCCTGCAATTGACGTACGCAGAGGCTCGAGATGCACCAAGTTGTTTGACTGTGAGTTGCTTAACTGAGCTGATCTTATAGTTTAATTATTTGTGAACAATTCTGGTATGATTCTCCCTTCACAACTAATTGCTGCGACGCGGATGGTAAGCTTGTGGCCCAGGACTTGATTTTGTTCGTCTTGGAAACGTTGTATCTAATTATTGTTGCTTTGGGTGACGCCAGAGAACGAATGCCATGAGAGTATGTGTTCGAAGAAACCGCTGGCAAACTTACTGTCAACACTCATCCTTTGATGTTTCTGCAACGTACTTGGTTACCAAATCTTGGAGTTGTCAGGTTAGTGGACTACTTAATACATCTCTCTAAGAACTTAATGACAAATTTAGCCGAAACCCGATACTGTGAACGACCAAGCTTAAGCGGTAAAGGGAGATGGAGTCTTGTCCAGAACATCTAAGCCCACAAATCGTCAACATTTAGGATTCTTCATCCTAAATATTCAGAACTCTTAATCGGGAATGCAAACCCTGGAAGCGAAAACCCCAACAGAAATGATTCCGGCAGATAATTTATCACCACTGAGGAAGCTCTTTGCAAAGAAGTTGCACGTCACCAGCTTGAAGAGAAGCTTGCTGTAACGAGAGTATGAATGGTTGCTGTCCATTTCTTGGATATGATCCTCCAACACTCTTATAGCCGAGCTCTAACATTAGCAGTCGTTATTTGGGTGCCATGAACCAGTGTAAATCATATGCGGGTGCTCCTGCAGTTCAAACAGGAAGCATGCTGATCCATCTCAGGCTTCGCACTTGGTATATTTATCCTTTCTTTGCTGCCTGGTGTTTACCCCTAACCTTGAGTAAACCACCTGTATGTATAGAACTGACACAAGCCGCACGAAAGCAACCTTATTGCGTAGCATGTAGAGCTTTAATCCTTTAACACGAGTTCAACTGCAGTCCAACAGTCGACCTAGTCGTTTGATTACTGCAGGATTGGGAACGAACTGACGAGGCTTTGCTGAAATCGGGTATCCAAATCTGCAGTAATTCAGAAGTTCCGTTTCTGCAACGTTTGCTCACGTTAGCCTTTTACGACGGTCGACCTACTGCTTTCGTAATTCACGTTGATGTTTGTCCTGGTGCAATGGGAACTCCTGATTGTAGTGATATTACGTTGACTGTATCGCCTGTTAATAACTGGTGCAGTCAATAACACGAAGAGTTATCTGTATCACGAAGGAGTTGGAAGTATCTGTGAACTCAGGCTTCCTTCTTGCTTTGTTGGGGTGATGACCTCTCTGCAGGTAGGATCTTGAGTTTGGGATAGCGAAGTCGATTCTGGACGAGAATCGAGCCCCTGCGAAGAAGCACGCAATCAGACAGGAGGTGGTTTGAAGATAATTGGTCAACACGACGCGGGACTTATCCTGCAGTGTGATTGATTATACCTGCAGTAAGTCACGAGAAGGCTCGGTTACTGCAAAAGTTTTTCATTCGCACTCTGCAACGATGATTCTTCAATTGTTGTCCCTCCCCACTGCAATTGGAGAATCGTTGTTGCAGTAATTCCTGATTTCGAAGGAGACTAATTCTTTGTATACAGAAACTGTAGGGGGCATGAAGGTCTTTGAACCCGAAATGTTTTCTGCAACTTCCATGTTTCTCGAATATATCCAGACCCTTACCGAGTGAGATACAAAGTTTGCAGGAACTGTGAGATATCGAAGTGAGGACCGTGTCGTTGTTCGAAGGCAGTAATTTTCATTCCACTAGATACTGTTGTAATTACACTGGAATCACTGAAATCGTCTGTCACCCCTCTCAGCGTGCCACCTTTCAACTCATTCAAAACCTTCAGTTAGATACCTGAGAACGAAGTATTGTGGCCAATAGCTGGTCCGTAGGATAAGGAAAGAAAGAAACAACGTTGTGTATGACCAAAGATCAGGTGCCACCACTGCCGACTCGTGCAAAACGATTGCTCCAGGCTGTGCTGATATGTCACAGGTGTCATCTTACAGTGATCATAAGCTTTCGGCGGTCTTTCCACCCAAGCACAGAACCCTATTCTACTAGGTCAAAAAATCAGCTATGGTGTTCGTCAAGGAACACAATTCAGTTCCTTACTCACGTAGAATGTGAGTCAAGCTCATCTGGTGTGGTGGAGCACGACCTTTGGCACGACGCAAAGCGTGCTGTGAGTGATCCTTCATGACAGATACGCTATTCCAGAACCATCGAAACTCCATGCATAGTCTGGTCTCCAGATCAACTGCTTGTTGCTCCTGCTTTCAGCTCAAATAGTCGTGTAGCGGATTTCGTTGCATAAACTTGTAAGCTGACCCCATGTTTGCATCACTGAACTGCTTGGGCTCAGATTTCACGAGCTCTCTGTCAGGGACCTCGTCAGCTTCTCAGCAAACTTGCAGCAGATCAGATCAGTCAACCTTGCACTCTCTTTGCAGAACTTGTGTAGTATTATATCATAAGATGATCAGTTGCAGTAATTTTCACCACCGTGGAAACTATTAGCCACATTTGTGTGTCGGTGACGTTTTGAGTGCCGAGCATCATGTGGTGTTGATATAACTGCCTGGTGACGGTTAGAGGTTGATGTCGAGAAAACGAAAAAACAAAAACTGCTTGTTGCTCAATCTTCAATTGTTCAATCTGACTCAGTAAGCATAGCGAACTGCATAGTGAGCATGTTAGTGTAAATAATACTGGTTCTTTCCATTTATGTCTTTTCTTGCTTTCTAACACATCATGTTTCTAGAATTGTTATGCCGTTGTAATGCATGTTTAATGTAGCATAAGATTTTTTATTTTTATTTTCATTTTATTATTGAAATAGGCTGTGTTACGCATGTTCATAAAATACAAGCAAAAATATGTTAAATGTTTTTGTGAATGTGGTTTTATGATCCATGTTTTGTTTGAACAAGGATTGACATCTCAGGTGATAGTTTTACGAGAGGGTTTTTGTAATGATTGGAAATATTTGGATTTCCGAAAGAATCTGTTCAAATTCAACGATTGTTGAAGAGATTAACTATATCAGAGTTTATATTGTCTTTATTGTTATCTTCAATACCTTTATTTTGTGGAAAAGTGGTACCTTTAGAATCTATTGTCATTGCAGCATTCAATCTAGGATTTTTCAATAAAATTGTGAGTATACTAAAAAGACCAAGTTGTTTGATATTCCAAAATTCAATTTCAAATTATTTTTTCTTTCAAGCAATAAGGTAAGGTTCACATTACTATGAAGAGATTGAACAGAATGCATTTGTTTTCACAAAATCAAAAGGATACATATACATATAAACTTGATACATTTAATTTACATCAATTTTACATTGAAGAGATTAGTCATGGTAAAGATCCAAGTTTTGAATGAAGAATTAGAAGAAGGCATCTACACAAAAATGTCTTTATATAGAAATGACAACATCAATGTGAACAATAGAAAACAACTAGGTACATTATTTTAAGGTAAAAACCAAGTCCACATTAGAAATTAGTATGTAAAATATAAAAAGCAAGTAGATGAAATTCTAGGCATTTTGTACAAGCCAATAATATTGTTATATCTACACATGTTATGTATAGATGTTATGTGTAGATATGGATATGTATTTATTGTTGGTCAAGAATGCACACAATAATCAAAAACTTTATAATTAGACAAATTGTAGATGTAGAATGAATTTTAATAGTTGATCACCATTCCTTTATATATAACATGGCTTCTTAATAAATATAACCTTATCAAATATAATTAAATCCATGAGTATAATATAAAATTTAATACTTGAATAAAATGATTGATTATCTTTTATTGTTGACCTTGAATGTCTTATATTACAATTTGCACCATCTTCTTTTGTTTATTTGCATATGTTAAAATCAAAGTTTCACTATCAATGATTTGGTCATCATTGCATGTTACCTTTAAAAATTCTCCATTTTAGTGTTGGTCCATGATGTAATTTTAACATACTTTCCTTGAACATCACCTCTTATTTCAGAATTGGCCTCTTGTATCACTTTTTAGTTTTATTGTAATGCCATGTGGCTTTCAGAAATGTTCAAATATCATTAGATAATGATTCCTTAATTTGCAACATGATTTAATAAAAATTTCACTTTTTCATCTGAATTGTTTCATTTAGAAGATTTGTTTACTATAACAAGAAGTCTTTATTATCTCCCAATTGGACCTATTTTTATGAAGAATTAAATTGTACAATGTTAACAATGAAAATGACACCACAACCATTGGTTTTGAAACCATCTTCAACAATATTTTAGTATATAGACAACATTGGACAACAAATCACCTGGCTAAGCAGTTTGTGTTTCTCCTTGAATGTAATATTTTAGCATTAACCATGTTCATAAATAATTCCATACAAGAATTCCTTTGGTTTGTTTCTTAATCAACACTCTCTTTTGGTGCCCAACATAAAATGATTGTTGTTGAAAGTCAATTGCATGTGTACATTGCATTTGCAATTAAAAAGTCAACATTAAAGTGATGTGAATATATCATGTTTTGTAACATCTTCAGAATTCGTCACTGTGATCTATAATATAATATTTCTATAAAAATTAAATAAAGAAACTAAGACAAGAAAGTGGAAATTTTGCATCCTAAAATTCCCTCCTGCACTCAATGGTTTCATTCAAAAATATCATTCATTCTCGAACAAAACACGCATGAGTCTTTCAAAGTAAATTCTCCATCCATAAAAATTGGGATAACTTATTCATATCTATCTAAAAGAAAGTGATTTTAAGAATATTATTATAAAAATCTATGTAATGCTTCCAACCCTTTGACTAGCTGAGAATATTATACAATTGAATAAACTTTTGAGTCATTTAAAAAACCAAAATAAATTCAAAAAAATACCTACAAAAATTCACAAACTTCTGACAGGAAAAATATTTATAAAATAAAGAAAAAAAATTGTTAAAACTTAAGTGACTTTTGTTTTTCAATTAGAAAGAACTATGAGAATAAAATTAGAATAAATTGCACATGAAATGGAATACAGCAACTATGATCTTGCAAGTATGAGTATCAATAAATGCAACACTAAGGCTATCCTCAATATATAATTTATTAAATCAATTAAGCTAATAAATTCAACCATTCTTTATTTTTTTTCTTTTGGCTGATTTGGAAAATAAAAATTGCAGTTTTGGCAAATTAAAAAATCAAATGCAATAAATTGATATTTGATACTTTGTCAAAAATATACATATATACATATGTATTTGCACTATCACAAAATACCAGTGAGCTGTAGTAATTATAGATCATCTAATAGAAAGCTGCTTTTAGATCAAAAAAAATTTTAAAATCTGTATTTTTAATTGAATTTTTGTGTAAGTTGCTGTAAAAATATCAAAATAAATTAATAATAAATTAATATAAACGAATATTAAATTGACGTACCTATATCTTAAATCAATCCACTTTATTCCCCTAATTCAATCTCTATGACTACTTTTTCCAATTTATTAACATATAAACCTGTGAATTCAATGGACACCAGCAAAGATGAATCCATGATTCTTCTCAATGAGAGAAGAGATTTGGATCTTTCTTGCATTGCCTTGTCCACAAAACTTCATTGTTACACCTTTAATTTTGCTAAGAAATCAAGGTTAAATTAAATGAATGAGTTTATAAGTTTTTCTCCTTCTAAATTGTAAAATTAGTCACAAAGATTGAATCATGGAAGTAAGATAGTTTGATTTAAGATTTAGGTAGGTCAATTCAATATTATTAAATATATATACATATATATATATATATATATATGTATATGAAGCAATATCATGTGTTGTTCTTAGAATTTGGCAATCAATTAAATACTAAATATACATTTATCTCTTATATAAAACACATCAAAGGGGGTACAAATCAACAAAATAAATCAAAGAAACAAATCAGTTTTCTGATTGGCTAGATTCATCATTGTTTTATCAAAACTTGCTGAGTCACTAGGCCTTATCAAAACTAAAGTGGCAACACTTAGTAAAGACAACAATGTTGATTACGATATTCAATCTTATCGAAGGCCACAATCCCACTCATAATGAGGTGCTGTTGATTTCATTGTTGATTATAATGCATTGTGCAGTGAATTCACTGCTCATTGTGGCTTTCGATTCTACACAATTCAACTTAAAATTATATCAAGCCACAAGCCAAATGCCGCTGGTTGAATTCCAATCTTTGTTGTGGAGATGTGATGTGTGGAAATATGTTACCAGTTCCAATGATTAATATCATCTTGATGTTTAGTTTAATCCTCTGAAGTCATAGTGGTTACCACCACAATAACCTTCGAAGAAAAGATCAACCATTTGGGAGAGATCCTCCTGCATTAAGTACTCAAAAGTTTGAATGGATTTCTATTGAAGAGCAATCCAGATACTATGATTTATCTAAGGATACATAAAGAACTGATCTGCTTTTACAAAGCATAGATCTATTATTTAAAGCAGAAAACTTGGAGGGATTTAAAACATTTCAGCAGTAGTTCTACATTTTCATGCCTCAAGACTCTATATTAAGAATTGAGAATTTATGTTTATTCTTATTTTTATTTTTACTTATGATTTTATTTGTTAGATGTTTTATTCTCCTTGTAAAGAAAGAAACTCTCACAAATGATGGTGCAATTTTTACTTCTCAAATATCCTCTCTTCATCTTGTATATATTCATCCATCCAATAGCAACAGCATTTGGAGAAAGAAAGTAGTTGAGGTCAGTCTCACCTTGCAAATGTCAGGATTCCATCATCTTTGTTTATTTATTTATTTATTTATTTTGTATATTTTTGTGGCTCACTCCATTTGTGTAGTTGAACTCATGAACCCAAGAACCCATGCTATTGTCAGTAATATAGCTTTAATAATAATTGGAATTAATAAGAGAGCAATTGCTCAATAATAGCATGGGGAAGGTGAGAGTGCATAAAGAAAATTTGAAATAGTTATAAACAAGGGAAAAAGTGTTTATTATAGAATACTTGCTCAATGACGTCAAAGCAATTGGGAGAGATTTTAGAGAGAGGGTGTAACCATTGTAGATGAGAATGTTAATCCTAATTAGAGAGCAATTGGTTAATAATATAGAAAAGGTTGTGAGAGAGATGATGAAGAACAAGATGATATTAATCATTAGAATTGCAGAAGGGTGCAACTATAGCAAACAAAAAAATTGCAAGGAATTCAAAAAGACAATGGCTAAAATTGTGCATAAACTATGCAAGATGAATATTTTGTGTCAAGAGATGGAAGAAAATATTACTACAATTAATGAAAATAATAGTATTGGTAGAAAGATTGTTTAATCTAAGAATCTTCAAGAAAATGCACAGTAAAGGTAAAGGACATGGAAAGAAGTAAGAGAACGTGATAGAATGGAAGAAATTGGTGAAAAAATGGAATAACTTTTCATGAACATTATAATAAAAGAAATAGATTAGAAGAGTCACAATGTTGGAAATGAAGACGCTCAATGACCACATTGCAAGGCACTTCATTGAATGGATGAATAAACTATGCCATCAACAAAATTAAGTCTACAAGTTGGTTTATATTTTCTTTATAAAAAGATTGAACTTTTGCCTCTTAAATTTTCCAATTATTAAAGACCCATATTTATTAAGTAGATAATTATTTGATAGACAAGATATACAAAGCAAGGAGTTTCAAAAGAATATTTAATAATATAATGTTTTACACACATTTACATTTCTTAGTACAAAAATTAATAATAATATCTTGTAAAGATATGGTATATATAACTTTTGTATACTTAGAGCACTTTGGCATCAAATTAATGTTTTTTTTTTTTTTTTTTTTTTTTTTTTTTTTAATCAAAATAAGGTATAGAATCAAGTTATGTATAAATTTATATTTATGATCCGAATATTACACATGAAACAAGGATGGCACATAAAGATAATTTTTTAGTTCAAACAATGTGGGAGCTTCAAAAATGTTTGAGAGAATATCACATATTTTTTCCACTTTGTGGACAAACTCATGAAATATTGAACCAAGTGGACTTTGAATTTTAGATTTTATTTTATTTTATTTTATTTTTTCATTTGATATGTAGAACATTAAATACATTTATTTGATTTTTTGTTTATTTCTTACTAAGTAAATCATCATGGGTAATTTTCTCAAATTACAATATCATTGTATTCACATCTATCCTCCAGATATTTTTTAAAGGTTAATATATATATTTTTATATATTAATATTTTTTTGGTGTGTGGAAATTTGAACTTAATAAAAATTCCATAAATTTTTCCACTTTAACAATACAACATTTTCATAGATATAAAGTTCTCTTCCAACTAATACTATTATATTTGTTCTCTAAACATGTTTATCATGAGTTATATTATTGGAATTCTATTGTATGTGATTGTATTAAAATTGAATTTTGAGTGTTTCTATTGATTATGATACAAATCCTTTGCAATTTTTCATCTCTTCTTGCACCAATATGTATGCCATGTGAATGTGTCCAAAAACTATGGACTTGCTAAAACTTTGAAATGTTTCAAGCATTACATATGTATCAAAGATACTATAAAAGCATTACTCTTCATTTATTTTAAAAAATAAATTTCGAAGTTAATGAGATTAATACTTATTTTAACTACTTTACGTGTTTAGTTACTTGTCTAATTTGCATTTACATCAATGCTATTTAGCTCGATTCAGTTATTTCAAAAATATATTCTCAAAAATCTTAAGACAGAAAAATTATTTCATCGGTGATCTGAAGTAATATTTTCAGAAATAAAATAATATTGAATTTATATAGTAATACTAGGTGTACATTCGCATAATTTTTTTAAACTGATTATTAAAATATAATAAGAAGGTGGAATTTTCCAGGAAGAAGTCCTGGACGGGAACCCGTTGGACACAAGTCCGCGAACAGGGACTCGTTCTGAATTTTCCCTCCAATATTCGTCACGTCTCAGCCTATCTGGTGTGAACGCGCCACTTTTTGGCGCCATGGCGGGAACGGCCTTTGAAACCAGTGACCGGCACCCCAGCCCCCCTCCTCACTGTACGAGCCGGTCCCATTCCAGATCGACCGTTTATCACAGGTCAAAAGATGTCCGTTGTTGGGGCTCTCCTAAGGACTCACCCAGATACCATGATACTACCCGGCGGTATACTAGCTATGACTGGTTGGTAGGTAGCGCGGGAAGAAGCGGATGGGGAGGGAGAAGGCGGCAAGTATGAGTTGTGAAGCGGAGTTGGTCGTTGCTGCTCTTTCCTGAGCTCGTGGAGCTAGATTGCTGGAATCGTTGAGGCCAGTATCAAACTCTGCGACTCTTTATTTCGCAGTTTCCTCAATTTTTTGAACGGTTTTGGTGTAAGGAGTTAGATTGGAGCTTGCTCGCGAAGAGGCTTTTGGGGAGTTAGTGGCAGTAGCAGTGGCAGTGGCAGACCTTCTCTCCCGAGCTCGAGATTGGAAGCAGGAAAGATGAGTTTAGTGGTGAACATGCACCAGCGGCGGACTGTGGCCACTGGGACTGTGGCCACTGGGAGGCAGAACCAGGACCCTAACACGCCTGGTGAGTGATTACATGGGGTTAGATGTGTGGTTGTGCGCAAGGAATGGCGTTTTGGTTTTGTTTACTTGTTTACTGTTTTTGCATTTGGGGGTTGGAGAGTTGTTTGCTGCGGTGAGAGCTGTTGCGTTTGTGGAGGTGTGCGAGAGGGTGAGTTGTGAATACGAGTGTGGTTTTGGAGCACTTGTCTCTTGTGTAAATTGGGTTTTTGATTGATTGTGGTTTGATCCCTTAGTGAATCCTGAGAAGAAGCGGACCTCCAAGAGGCTGCAACCGGAGGTGCAGAAATCTATTGAAGAGGTCCTCAACCACTCGAGAAATACGAAAGGTAAGAATGGGAATTCAACTTTGAACATGGATGCGTTTTCCGTGTTCGGTTTTGAGTTTCACTGGAGTATAGATTCCCGGGCTCGTTGTTCTATCACTATACGTGTGATGGTCTAGCTGCTATTGTCCTGTTTCATCTTTCTTTTACAGCTGCTCTGACTGTTGTTGCAGTTTTAAAACACTGGGTCTGTTAACTCCATCTGTGCTTGAATTTCAGGGCGAGGTCGATCGATGGTTCTCGCAGCCCTACAGAAGAAGGCGGCCGAGCAGAAAAATCCTGGTATGTCTACTGTATACCCTCTTTGGGGAGTTTGGGACCTGCATCCATCTTGTGCTGCCACCATAGTTTCCGCAACTACCCCTTGTATGTTGTGTGATTGCCACAGGAAGGTTGGGTACACCAAGTATTTAATAATTTTTCCTTTTTGGGCGACATTCAAAGTCCGCATAGGTCGGCGATGTCCCTTCCCTTTCCCCTTACCAGAGTCGATTCTGTAGGTGATCCATACAGGTCACATTATGAATTGTACTAAATTGCTGGTTTCTGTCATGGATCATTTCTGTCCTTTCAAGCCCTACATGCCTGATCTACTTCAGGTGTTGCGTTGTTGCCTCCCACGATTTTATCCTACTGAATCCGCTCTGCTCATGTGTTCACCCCAGTGGTTTCCGCAGATGGTTGAAGTCACATCTCTTGTTCCGCCAAGATATTTTGTCGCCGTGGTCCATTATCGTTTCAACTCGTACGTTTTACCAGTTTCTGGAATTTCGCTGACCGGTGTAATACCTGATGTCTTGTCTCAGCCACGGTGAAGACTTCTCCGGTAAAAAGGAATCAGCGTGGAGGAAGTGCACAAAAAAATGCGCATTCAGATGATATGACTTCTGCCCTGGTTGCACCTGAGCTGCAAGGAAGCAAGATTCCCATCTCCGACATTCGGAAGAGACACGTGGATCAGGATCAGGCAAGAGCCCCCTTAACTGTGTTAGATGCCTCTGCAGAAGATGAGCCAAAGACCAACTGGAAGGACTTGGCTGGCAGTAGCCCTTCCAAGCCCTCGCGAAAAGAGGAAACACCAGTAGTGTACCAGAAGAAGCAAAAGACTGAAAGTGCGTCACCGATACCCGCAGCTATGATGTCTAATAGGCGGCCAGTGACTTATGGGGCCTCCCCACTTCCACTACCATCGCCGCCACCAGCACCAGAATCCAAGAGCCCCTGCTCGAGAAATGTGACGGAAAATCCTGCAGCGGGAGGTTCAATGCCCACCGTTGAGCAAGTTGTAGAGATTACCAGTTTGCAACCTGCCAAAAGGCATCTAGTGTCACCTTCGCAAACACAGGAGGAAAGGTGAGGTTTGATTCGACTTAGATCACTCGACTGGAATTGGTAGACGACGTTATATACTCTGGATGTGAGATTATATTGCAATTCTCAACTCCTCCATGTCAGCGTCACTCACTGTGCAGATTGGACATTGCAGTGACTTGTGCGGCTCTTCTGCTGTAGTTCGTAATGTGGAGGCATCAAACCCTATTGCGTGTCAGAGAGACTCGGAATCCCAAATTCTAGAACTTCAAAATCAAATGTTCTCCTTCATTCCTACGAGCTCAAGGAGGATGCATGGGTTAGTTTTTCTTTCACTCTTTTGCAACTCTCTATTGAGATCTTGCCAAAGTGAAATCATGAGAAGTTCCTCCTACTAACCTCATCTCGAATGTTGTCTGTGTTGTTCGATCCTCAGATTGTCGAACCTCGGGAACACGTGCTTTATGAATGTTATCATTCAATGTCTCTACAATTTGACTAGTTTTGTAGCAGGCATGGAGCAATTTTTTGGTCCACTTCTGAACAAGAATGCTCCGGAGGTAAGTGTAGCAGCCAGCATTGCCCACCTTCCCAGTTGTATCTGTCATCCCTCCTGAGTATTATTCATGGCCTTAGCAGCGTATTAACTACCTGATTATTGGGTGCATCGATATCTATAATTTTTGTCATGCTCTCCTGGATGTATTTCCTGAATTTGTGCGCTTCTTCCAGGGATCTGCACCTCTCATGTCCCAAGATGCTGTAGGTGTACATACTGCTTTGCTCAAAGTGTTCCGAGACCTAAAGCACGTTGAAGGATATGAAACTGTGAATCCCTCCGTGCTTAAGCAAGCGTTTGCAAAGCACCAATCGAGCTTCTGGGATTGCATCCAGCAGGTATTTAATGTTCCTTGCTGAACCTGCTTCTGTCCATGTGACTTGGCTCTAATCAATATTTAAACTAGTATCAGTGAAAGTAGCTAAAAAACCTCTTTTCAATGTATGCTAATTGATTTTTGGAACTGCCTGGAAGTGGCTTCCCGATTTAACCTATACGACCGGGGCGTGTGCAGGATGCGCACGAATTCTTTTGTAGCTTAGTCGATCAAGTGCAAGAAAATGTATCATGTGAACTCAAGAGGCTGTACCCCATCGATGCTGAGCGGCCTAAACTAGAAACTGTGTGCCCAACGACACAGAATTTCAGGTTAGTTATTCTCGGGATGAACTGCTTTCCTGAGCTTCCCCGTCAGTGCGAATTTGTAAACCACTATCCAATCATTCTGATTTGGATAAACGTGCGATTATGCAGCTGCCTAGTCAGGAACAGTTTGACATGTACTGCTTGTGGGAAAGTATCATCTGTGGAGGAGACTTATCGAGACTTCTGTTTGGCTTTGCCAGAAGATGAGAGGTAATATTCTTCCTGCTTGAATTCTTCCGTTGTCTGATGCGTGTGCCTGTGTTGAGAGCATTTCACATTACATACATACAATTCATCTGATTTAGAAATTCTTGCAGATGAATACAGGCTAAATTGATGTAACAGTTTTAGAACATAATATTCTTGCTCTACAGATACTTGAATGTGTAGGTGTATTGATTTTTACAGAACTGATGAATCTAAGGACTGGAGCCTGGAATCACTGTTGAACTTGTATTTTCAGGTGTGTTTTCTTTGTCATCTCAATTGTCTAATCATATCTGGTTTCTAATCTTGAATTATTTGTCTCGATTTCTACTTCATATATCTCATGTCTGCATGATGCAATTGCAGGAGAGTACTATATGTCGCAAGTGTGAAGGGTGTGGTGCGGAAGACTCGAAGGCTAGAGCTCAAATCCTTCAACTACCACACGTTCTAGTGCTTCAACTGAAGCGATTACATATGGACCGTGATTTCCCATGCACCAAAGTTACATCTCCTGTAAAGTTCAACTCTCGCCTTGATATCGGTACGTCATTCTTCTCTCTTGATGTGATGTTTCTGTCCGTAACTCATTCACTGTGTATTCCTTTCGTATGTTCTAATCAACTGAGATTTAACGGATGTACCCTCAAATTCTCGTTTATCATTTCGGCTGTGATGGAAACTTTTCTCCTTGATACTTCATGTTTGCACTTACCCGTAATCCCAAGTGATCGTAGTTAGTTTATTCTTGCATTTTTAACCTCCTCTTGCAGGACCATGGTGTGCTCAAGATAAACAAAAGTTTTGGAGTCCCACAAACGTTGATTCTCAGAATTATGAAGGGATGGAGTCGGCAGCTTCCGTTTGTAGTGCACAGGATAAGTTTGTTAGCATCAGTCAAGGAACGCTTGACTGTCGATCACAAGACATGAGCGACACTTCCGGAACAAATCGAACTGCTGATGTGGGCACCAGCTACAGGTTATATGGGGTTGTGAATCATTTGGGATTTACCTCCACATGTGGCCATTTCCTCGCCGACACTCTCGATCCGGAGGCTAACCGATGGCTTAGATGTGATGATTCGCTAGTCACTGACGTAAGTCCTCTTGTACACTTGTATATCCTCGTTCATTTAGTTCTCGGTGAATAGCATATAGGTGATAAGCATTAAGGTTTCTTTGGGGCTGTATTATTAAGTGCCCTTTGCTTTTCGACAGGTATCAGAAGATTCAGTTTCGGCCAATGTGAAGGAGGCTTACATGTTCTTTTACGTGCATCAACCTGTCAGCTCATAGCTTGTCGACTGAAACCATAAGTTTTGACTAGTCGTTTCCATGTGAGCCTAACTTAGGAAGATTTAACTTAGTAGAGTGTATGATGAAAAACATACCTTGTTGTATAGCTAGTGAGGAAATTTTATCTTGAAGCCGTAACAGAGGCATCGGCAGGTAGTCCCTACAAGACAGTTACACTGAGATCTAACGTGCAGTATGGCAGTGAATACTTGTCTGTTAGATGGTGTGACAACCTTTGTATGATAAGCAATTTGATACAAAAGACTTCTAACCTCCCTTAACAAATTGGCATGTAAGATTTTCTCTCCAAACCATAGTACCCATTATCATGGAACTTTTCTTCTAGTCACAGCACCCAAAAGTTTTGCGTCTACAAAGATGTGAAGCATACAACTGGCGAAGTCGGGTATATGATGATTACTCAGTCTAAATCTTATATGGCAAGCTCTGAAATCAATGGGGAAATACACTGCTAATGCTTGCAGGGAAAAACATTGTTGCGACACTCGAAGAGACACATCGGCTACCAAAATGCCGAGACATCTCCCAGTCGTTAACTCAAACTTCACATCACCTAGGTTGTTATGTACTTGGTTGGAAGAGGCTCATCCTTGCAATTGCCTTAGGGTGTTTTGGCAGCTATTTGTTATAAATCTTCCTGAAAGTTCCGATTGCACTTACATAATTGATCCCTGGAATCTTTGGAAACCATTTGGAAAGAATGTTGCAGAACCCCCATGGAATGAAAGCTCGAATGATATGAGTGGAATAACTTGCATTGTAATCCTGAGCCTGTTAACACCTAAACTATTGTGTTGGAAGCCTTGCCCGGATTCTTGCATTGATGTGATAACACAGGAGATGGTTGGAGAGCTCGCCCAAGTGTGATAACCTTCAGCTTTCGGTATAAGATTCAACCTTTCAGGCTTTCGAACTCGCTTCATATCTCTGGTTCCAGAGCATGTGAAGAAGCGTCTTGTCTCACTGTGCTTGTTCTGCTAAATTTCAAAAGAACATGCATCTCTTTTCTTTCGATCACAGGATTGTTGATAGATTAGTTGTACTAAAATGCCTCGTGATTTCACCTACTTTGCAAATGCCATTAAAATCTCGATTCTTCCTGTTGCATCTGCAGAGTGCGAATGAGGCTACTGTTGGAGCTACCCTCTGCTAATTAGAGAGATTAGTGTTGATTGGTATGGCATATGATGTAATTGCCAGTTGCTCTTTGCTATGAGACTACAACTGACCATACGAGGCTCTTGGGCTAGTGTCCTCTGTTTTAATTGAAGACATTATTTTGATTTACATATCATGTGTACATTACTCCTTCGAGTTCTCAGTGAGTGCATACGATCTCTCTAGGGTACCAATGCTCTTCACGAAGGCACAGGAAACAGCACACTGTTTGCTGCCTGCATGGAAACTCCTTCAGACATTTCTTACAACAATGTCAACTCGACTACCCGACAGGCCAGCAAATCGAGTTCTGTTTCAATAACCAAAGGTAATATAGACCCTATTCTTTACAGAAAAAAACATTCCGATGCCAGATGAGATCAGTACATTTAGTCACTGTTGAGGCGTTCACGCATACCCTATTTTTTTTAAAGTTGTCGTCTCTAAGTGTCAGGTGTTGAACTTAGCAGTTGGGTACAGTACATTTGCACTTCTCACATTGTGTTAACGAGCTGAGGAAGGTATTTGCAAACGGCGATGTTTTACAATACTTCATCAGCCCTGTATTAAGTCAGCCTGGTTAGGGGATGGTAACTTTTGGAGTCACAGGTCAGACGTAATGACATCTTCACTAATCTTATCTTATCTTTGATTTGTTGATTGGGATTGTATCAACAAATTTTACTGACATACTGTTATTCCTTGTGGGGATCACCCTATCTGAGTTGGTATCACAACAACACGCGGTTCTCAATTGGTCTTGAAAGGCGTGAGCTCAATCGTATTTACTACGCCCACCCACTCTCACTTAGAATTCGTTTCTTTACAAAAGTGCAATTCAATCATTTCCCTGTACCTCGGTTTGTGCTTTGTACACGATGATGTAGAGACCAGAGCGATGTGTGGAAGGGAATATGCAATGATAATTGGGGTTGTGTGGAAGGGAATATGCAATGATAATTGGGGTTGTGTGGAAGGGAATATGCAATGATAATTGGGGTTGTGTAAAACATTTTGAAATCCGAAATTATGGTCTTACTGGTGTATTTACCCGCAAGATGGCAAGTCAAGCTTATTCTGCAGCTCTAACCTTGCATCAACTTGGGTTTTGTACAGATATTCATTCATTGCCGAAGCTCACACCCAGTGCGCATCGTAGCCTGAACGAACAAACCCCAGAGCTCTTGAAGACGACGACAGGAGGACACAAACATCGAATAATCTTCCAGCTTTGGAGAAGTGGCTTTGTTAGAAGAGGAGCGGAGGAGACTAACATATGAGCAACTCAAGCCTCGACATTGCTGTAATGTATCTGCCGTAATTCGTTGTTATGTTCGTACTGTCAGAAGCTTGTACACGGTCTGTACCACAGTTTATTTGTTTATTTTATTGGAGATCAGGCGATACCTGGAATTGCTTCTCATCGCCACCAATTGTTGCTTCAAGATCTTGTGGCTTGTTTTGTGAACCTTCTCCAATGAATGAATGGCATTCGGCATTCCTAGCTTCCAACCCACTCCTCACTACCTACGTGCTCAAGGGCTTAGAAGGATTGCTGAACACGATTTTGACTTGGGTGTTGGATCATATCACTCTGCCCCGTGCAAGCAAGCTCTGTTGTACCAGTTAAGGAAATGAGACTCACCAAAATGCCGTGCTCGCTAGATCTCGTGGCCGTGCATCACGTCTCCCGACAAATGCTCTTGTCATGACCACCCAAGTTTCCTCGACACTGCCCCATATTGCTTGTAAATCAAATTACCGCAGTGGCTGCCCTAAATAAAGCTCAGTTCGCTCTGATACCACATTCATGCCCAGTGAACTAGCCGATTCGAAAGCAAGAGCTCTATTCAAGTGGCAGTCGATGGGACTTCGGGCATGCTCCTACAGTGCAGATTTTAGGAATCTGTGACGATGATTCCGATGAATCAGCGTCGCTTCATTGGACTCCTCGCTTGTTTAGTTGTCATATATGTCCGACGAGACAACTTTCACTGCAACGCACAGGGGGAGTGTGCTCAGAGCATTCTTGGCGATGATGATAATGATTATTCAGATTACGTCGATGATCTAGAGAACAATGATTTTGAACATAAGCTACAACAATTGCAACTCGTGCTGTCGAACGCATTAGAATTGCGGGATGAAAGATATCTCTTTAACGGAGGACCATGGAAGTTGGACCGTGGCGTTCTTATGAACAGGTTGGATGATGAATTCGTTGGGTACACGGAACGGTTCAATGTGCTTCTTGATGGAGCCGTGGGGGATGGCATCACCAATGATACCAATGTAACGTGACTCACTTGCGCATCGAAACTGCTTCTTCCTCTAGCTGCCTGATTGATTTCCTTTGATAACGGTCAACTTCATAATCTCTTTCAGTGACTGTCTACTTGTATCCAGGCATTTCTCGCAGCTTGGAATAAGGCTTGCGATGCTAGGAATGGCGAGGTGTATGTACCATCTGGGTACACATTCCTGGTGTACCCATCCACATTCTCAGGACCTTGCCGCTGCAACATTCGATTCGCGGTACCGCAGATACACCCTTTCAATTCATCACCTATTATCACTGCAAAGCCTGCGTGTTCGATTACCCAGATTGATCACAACAGCCTTTGGTTAACTCCTTGCTTTCCGCGTGTGTCAGGTTGAAGGGACAATTGTCGCTCCGGAGGAGATAAGTGCTTGGGACGGCCTCAACGTCCGCTACTGGCTTCTGTTTATCCATCTGGACTACTTCACACTCAAGGGGAGTGGTACATTCAACGGCCGTGGCTACAATTGGTGGGTGTGTAAAGAAGACAAAACATGTGAGAGGGCTCCAACAGTAAGCCGTCGCTCAAGTCTCAACCCCTCAATCCTTAAACCCTACTCTGAACCTCGCGATTGAACAGTTTAGGGTTTTTATCAGTAACCAGTGCTGGGTGTGAGTGCAGACTGTGACGGTGCTCAAAAGCAGCCATGTGACAGTGAGGACTGTGACATTCGTCGACGCTCCTCAGGTGCACATCAACTTCCAGGACATCACTGAGGGCCACGTCAAAGGGATCACAGTCCTGGCGCCTTGGTCGAGTCCCAACACGGACGGCATCCACATTTCCGGCACTACCGATTTTGTCGTCCGGAACTGTTATGTTGCCACTGGTCCGTCATCGTCTCCCGAATCTGTGTCTGTTTCACACGATCTGAACTCCTGGATTGAATTGTTCGCGCAAAGATGTCAAACGTTTGCACCCTGGATTGGGACACCCAGGAAACCATTGCCGTTAATGAGGTGAACATGGAGAGTGTGGCAGGTGACGATTGTGTGTCGATAGTGAGTGGGTCTCGCAACATCGGCGTCTACGATACATACTGTGGGATTGGCTGCCATGGCATCAGGTGCGCTTCTGTGGATGTTAGCCCTTCCTTTTTCCACACACCCTGTCGATCGAAGAGGGTTGCTTTCGAAAGCAAGAGGTAGATTGCAAGGTTTTTCAAGGCTTCGGGGGGTGATTGCAGTGTAGGAAGTTTGGGATACAACGGGCAGCATGCAAACGTAACGCAGGTGCAAGTGAAGAACTGTCAGCTAGATAGCACCACGAACGGACTGCGAATCAAGACATGGCAGGTCGGTCGATTCTATCCCCTCCTCTTGAACACCACCCAGCAGTTTTGAGCACCATTTCCAAGTAGAGTAAAACTGCCCGGACACAATCTAGCATTTACTTTCCAGCAAGTTGCTACTGCAGGGAGGCACAGGAATCGCGTCCAATATTGACTTCCGCAACATCAAAATGAGCAACGTAAGCAACCCCATCATCATCGATCAGTTCTACTGCCCACCGAGTCAAACAGAAGAACCGTGCTCCAACCTAGTAAGTGAATCCTGCCCGAAGCATAGTGTGCGCCTGGTACCGCAATGACGCATGGCCAGAGCAATTGACCGATGCAGTGGTGGGTTGTTGTTGTTGTTATTATTGTTGCCGCCACGCAGTCGACCGCGGTGCACATTGATCTCGTGAAGTTCACCAACATCACCGGCACGTCGGCATCGGCCACGGCGGTGAAGCTGGCGTGCAGCGACGCAGAGCCGTGCACAAACATCCGCATGAAGGATATCAATCTGACGAGAATGGACGGCAACACTGCGCGCGCCGTGTGCTCCAACGCGGTGGGCGTGGCGATGGGGGTGCAGATTCCGCCGACCTGCCTCACCGTCAACGCATCCGCGTTGTCGTCGATGCCCGTGCAGCTTTGCCTTCACAGCCTCCGCCTCCTGCGCCAGCTCTGGGACGTCGCCTTCCCGTAGGGAGAAAAAAAAAAAAAAAAAAAAAAAAAAATCCATCCATCCACCGATTTCATTCATCTACGTATTTTCATTCGTCCATAATTCGTCTATAAATTCATCCTTGTGACGAATGTATCCGTTGTCTTGACTTGTTCATTCATCTATGTTTTCATTCTAGTTTCTCATTCGTTCATCTGATTCAGTCACTAACCAACTCACTAATTCTTATGCTTCTCCTTTTCTGACGCTTGTGCGTTCTTTCGCATTCTTATTGCATGATTTTCAATATATATATATACATATATTTTTGGACGTGATTAACTGAAATAATTAGTTTATTTATTTATTTTTGAATTTGTGTGGAATGTTGCAGGTAGGCGTGATTGGAATATGGAATAAATTTACAGGGTCTTCCTCGATTGAATAGTGTGCATTGAAATGATTTATTATTTTTTATAGTTTTGTTTCAGCTGATTATTTTTATTTTTATTTTTATAAAAAAATGGTTACTTTATTCTGGAGGTTTTTTGTTTTATTTTTGATGATTGAAAATTATAGCTGGAAAGAAATAAGTTTATTTATTTATTTTTTATTTGAAACTTTACAACATCAAAGTTACACAACATCACAATTATATAATAATTTAATTTTTTTGAAAAAAAATTCCGCAATCAAAAGAGTGAGTAAACGTGATTCAAAGCTAATGTAAAATTAAGTAATATGCAACACATTTAATTACAATGTGCTAAAAACCTACATCAAGTATAACATTTTAGAATTCCAAAAATAATTTCTACTAACAATCTGATTATAGTTTATTGATATTAAGTAAAGTATAAAATTAGGCAAAGAAAACCAACAAATATGTATTCAAAAAGATTATGGGCAAAGTCGTTTTCGTAGAATTCATTCACCTATTATGGGGCTCTTGAAGCATGCCTTTTCTTTAAATAGAATCGTCATGTTTTCAATAAAAATCAAGGTATCTACACATGCACTGATACAATATATAATTAAAAAAATAATAATAATACCACCACTCCATTTGACAAACTAAGACATTTAGAAAACCTATTTTTTCTTGTAATCTTTTAGTTTAGATTACCCATTAAAATTGACTTATTTTTAGTTATAATAATTTGAATTCATACATACTTGTCAACAACTTAAAATCATTGCAATTTGTGAAAAGAAATGCATATATATTAATATATCTGTTAAGTACAAACCTCTTTTATTTTATTACCAATTCTATTTATGAATTACATTTCTTTTAGGATTCTTACTAATATTATAAAATATTGGTATGGAGTAAATGATCCATAATTGCGTTTTTAGCTAAGTAATATTATATTCATATAATAATATAGTAATGTGAATTTGTTATTTTAAAATATATATATATATATATATTTGTTTACCAGTTGAAAACTATATCCATCTTTATTATTTTATTTATTTACATTTTAATTTGCAATTGCATAAGTTTTACTCAAGTTATTATTAAATACATAACAAAAGTAATAAAGGTGATTTATTATCTGTACAGAGATATCATCATTGGTTACCTTGGTGCTTGACAAAAAGTAAAAATTATGATACAAAAAACAATGACAAAAGATTGTGTACAGTTAAAGTCAAATCTAAATAAAGTCATGAAGTCCCAAATCACGAATGAAGTCTTGAAGTATCCATGTGAACAAAAATAGCCATATTTTATCTAAAATATATGACATGAAAATAGAAACTCCGTTACATCCTTTCACATTAGAAGCCACCAAAAATAAAATAATGAATAATAAACAAGAAAGATATTACAATTCTTATTTCTCAATGCATCAGCTGATTACTTCAATATCTTCATTGCAATTAGCAGTTACACTTCTCAGAAAGTTGTTGAGGAGGTGGCAGGCGAGAGACTTGTGTAAATGAATATATGTCCACAAATGTCTTGCTCCTGTGTCCAGCACACTAAAAGAAACTACTGCCGCACAAACTGCCTCTTCCAGATTTTTGAACGCCTTTTGTTCCAGATTTTGGGAAGCAGCAACTTGTCCTGACCGCTTCGATTGGGCTTTATGATCTATTCAAACACAATCCAAAATGTGACCCAAAATACTTTCCAGGCATCAACAGTTCGAGATCATTCCAAACACATAATTCTTCATCAAAAGCAGAAAGCTTCACAAGGAGCATACCAGCTTGCAATATTCGAAAAAGCCGAAGAAGAGGGCTGACATAAGTGACACATGAACAGTCCTTGCACCCTGCGAAGGCATATTCAAACAATATTAATTCCACAGCCATCAGATTGCAGCTATGTTTTTTGACGGGCAAGCGCACATCCAAGAGCCGTCTACTCCCTGCAACGTTCTCCTAGTCAAAAGGAAACGCTCACCAGTCCACTAAAAAGCCCAGAAGCTCCTTTCTCCCTTATAACACCAGCAACAATCATGGGTATTGCCTGCTGTGCACCACATTGTTGCCGTGTCTTCACAAGATCAAGCTGTGCAGCAACACATGACTCAGGTTCAGAAACCGCACTGTGGAGTTTGGAAACAAAAATTATTTTAAATTAAGATTTGATCAAAGTGGCAATGGGAGTGTTAAATGAAACGTGTACCGGCATAGTGCACGCGGCAGCGATAGCCCCTGCGCAAGCTCCAAGAAGCAGATGCTCGGGAGTCCTGTCCAGAGAAAGGCAAGACAAGATAATATAAATTCAAATTGCGAAATTATACGTAAGATTGAAGCATTGTAATGAATCCACATGGCGTCACAATTTTGTTCGGTAAAAAGTACTTCCAAATATGAGGACAAAAGTTCCCAGAATCGTTACGTGAGTTTCGTGACGTTGCGCTTTTTCTGTACCACCGTTCTCAGTTTTTCGTAGACTCCAAACTGCAAGGGTTTACATAAAATATGTTAAAGAAATTGATTCTTGCAAAAAATGCCTGCCAATAGATAATACTAAAAATTCACACACCAAATAAAAACCACCTTCAAAAACCCTCATAAAGACTAACCTGAATCACAATTTCAGGTACATCTCTCATAAGGGTGGGCCAGAAGCCCTTATACAATCCTCCAATACCTTCGGCAGTCACGACCGACCGAAAAGCTTCAAATACTGCATATCAGAAAAACTTGCTAAGGAAAACTCTAGAAAACAACAGATGTCTGTAGCATGCATTAAAATCCTCGTTACACGATAGTTAACATGCGAAAGAAAAGTCTGAGACCATTGGATGTCCATTTCTTGCAATAAGTCACCGTTAATAAAGTAACAAAGAGAAAAGAAAAAGTGAACAGTACCATAAAGCCACGAGGAATAAATCAAGTGCACATGGAGACAGAACATATGATGGCGCTAGCGACTACAGCCATGTTTGAAACATGGTCCAGAAATGTACCATTTGGATGCATGTATGCTTGCACGCGATGTTTCAGTGTGTCAGCTGGTACCCGCACAATGGAGGACGCTAGAGTACCAATAGAGGCCGATGCAACATGGACTACCCCAGGTGGCAGATACTTCTCCAGATTTTGCTTCGATGCTGCAGGTCACAAAACAAAAGACGATCTAAAATTCAATGACACAATTTGCAGATGTTCTGAATGCAACTTAGGTTATGCAGATGACTGACATCAAAAGTTCGTGCAAGCCCCTAACTGAACAAACCATCCGTCCCTTCTATCACAATCAGCGACGCCCAACTGCAGTTACGTTAATAAGCGCATGCATTTTCTGCAGACAGAGTAGGCTGCCAATTTCTTGCTTTATTAGGAAACAGAGATGATCGAGAGATGGATCATGCACTCACTTTCATAGGCCGCAAAATACAGAAGCGCATTTGGAACAGTTCCTAGTATGGCGCCTGTTACTCCACGATATAGATCTGCAGGTCCTTTAAAAAACCAGTTGTCAACACCCACGGGACCAATACCAATGTGGTGTGAAGCAATATTCTTTCTCCATTTCCGGAGCTTTTTGGGAGGGTCGCGTACTTGCATCCTAGTCTTCACGGTGTCTACTGGGTGGCCACCAACCTGCTCAGTAGACCATAATTTATAAAGAGGAGACAAGCGAAGACTCCAAACTTATTTTAAATTTCAAAGATGGAAGGTTGAGATAAATTGCTATGTCGAACGATGTAATCAATCACACTGAATTTCGGTAATAAATTTCCGCCAAATCGAGCGACTCTTGCAAATCAACAATTGAAGTAAGGGCAGGTTCACGTGTAACAGAGAATCCGACTCTATTACCTACTTAAATATGCATGTAACCTGCTCCAGACTGCGCAAAAGTTCTGTACTGGAATCATGATTTTTGTTAAGATGCGATTTTCTGAAAATCACAGGATTTCAAATTGCAAACGTAACAAGCTACAGAATTTAGTGTCACCTGAGACAAAGTTCTCGCCATGGCTCCGGCGTAGACATGATTCAATGCAGTCTCGGCTTCTGAAGGATTGGCATCGTCAATGAATGGAAACCGGAATCTCCAACTCTGCTGCTTCACCTTGGGAGCAACTGTTCCCTCAGATAACGCTCTTTCGATCTCCATGGAATTTCCAGAGGCACTATACATTGAGGCGAACGAAATTTGCACGTTCCGAAAACGAGAAGCAACACCATGAGACCTTTCATCAGATAACTGCTGTTTCAGGTTTTCTACAAAATTGCCATAGCTGCACGGGTAGAGGCCAAATTGCATCAAAATGGTTGATTTCGGATCAACATCTTCTCGAACTCCTGATAAACTGGGTGTCATTGCGTAAGATTTCTGTGATTCTTCCCCACCGCGACAAGGGGAATGCACAGTTAACAGAGCAAGACTGTCGTCAACAGCAAATCTAACGCGACAGATACAATTCAAAACCGACGGAGCTAGACGTAGATCAGGAATACCCAACAGGGATTACACGCGTCTTTTTTCTGTCACAGGCGTTACTAAATTTAAACTCGAACTGCTATAGCCGGGGCCTACGGTCTGTGTCCCTCCTGTACACGCTTCCAGAATCCGCCAAAGAAGTGGAAAGGGCTGTGAGACTAGCTATGGCAGAGAATTTGGCAAGAAACAGGGGCACTGACATAATACCCAGCTGTGTGACCACTATAAACCGATAATTCCCAGATTGCACACACTTTCTAGCATGAAGTCAATCCCAACGCAATTGAAAATGCAGGTGATCTAAAATCGAGTTGAACCAGATTACACGAAATCTCGCAAATCCAAGAAAATGTCGACAAATTAAGCGTAATAACAACCCAATATCCTCATCCAAGCTCCACAAGGGACCCACAATCCAACTGCTCCTCAACCTCCACACAAATGCGGCCAACTCCAAACAAACACCCGACTTCTTCGCACCCTAAAACTCAACTAGCGACTCTTCCACCCAAAGAGCTCATGCACCGCGCCATCAAGGAACTCCAATCCCCCCTGGATATCTACAAGATCCGACTCAGAATGCCCAGCTTCTCTGAAGTAGCAAACTAAAATCCTCCATTCCGGCGGTTGCGAACGATGAAATACAAGAATATGCCAGAAGGGTATTCTTCCAAGCAGGTGCTGAAACTGTAAAGGATGGACGAGGGCAGCGAGCGGTGAGAACCGTCAGCCAGTTACATGCCGCCTGGTCAAAAATGCCATTTCACCTACACGAAGCACCATCGAAGGAACCCAACCCAACCCAACCTCAACAAATCACAAAAAAGAGAACAATAATAGTAATAACAAGAGAGAAAACAAATAGAGAGAGAGAGAAGAAAATGAAAACAAGAAGAGTGAGTGAGTGAGTGAGAGAGTCAGTCAGTCAATCAATCATCAATATCGAGAAATACGCCAAGGGATTCGAATGAAGGAAGGTATTCGAGCTAGCTAGGTATTCGTTTCTCAGAAATATCTCCTTCCCTCCATCTCTCCACCTTTGCGACATGAGACAACGGTGAGCAGTGCATGCAAGTCACCGATACGAAACGTGGTAGTAGAGGGAGCGAAGGAAGCGAAGGAGGATATTTGGTGCCTAGATTCCTCTCCTCTTCTCACCGCATCGCCATCTGCACTTGGCGGCACTGCGGCACAGCAAAGGGACGGAGCGAGAGAGGTCTGCCAGTTGCAAACAATCCCACGAACACGACGACGGCGGCGTCGACGAAGCTTACAATTTCGGCGGAAGAACGGACGGACGGACGGAGATTGCGGGTATGGTGGGTGTCAACTTGGGTGCCAACTTGGCTTGCACCTGCTTCGTCAGCAGTTTGTACACGTGGAGGGGGAAGTGAGCTTTGCGTTCATCCTCTCGGGGTTTGGATGAGCACTGTGGCCAAGCTTGCGATTTATGACTGATAAGATATCCTGCTTATCTCTCCGCCACGCTGGCATCTAACTATCTATCTGGCAACTTGGCATCGTCCTTTTCTTATAAGTACGAATCAAAGAATAAACGGTACTTTAATGCAACTTGAATGTTTGATTTTATGGGATAAGTTAATTAAGTTTAATAATGTAAGGATGCAATCATACATAGCTCAACCTCAAGGATCTCTCTTCATGTTTGAGAGGATCTTTCATTAGGTGGAGCTTAGACTAATGAGAGATTTTGATTGTTCCAATCGCTTAACAAATATTACTTGTTCATGTGTTTGTGAGTGTGTTGCAACTTTTTTATTTTTTTTAATTTAATGGAAGATCTGAAACTTTGATTGTGTTCTTATGTATGTATGAATGTAAGAGATCATTTTAATTAATTTATCACACATGTTAACTTTCTAAACCTAGATTTAATATATAAATATAAATATAAATATATTTTTATTTGGTTATATATTATAATAAATCCATGCTTTTTAATAATAATTCAACTCAATCAACCCTTTTATTTATTTTATTGTTTTATGTTGTCAAAGCATCGACAATCCATTCTTATGGTATGCTTTCTTTTATTATTTTAAAACTTTAATTGCAAGAAAAATTGAAATAATTTGATCTATCATGCAATGTTTTCAATTTCATTATATCCATAGATTGTATTGCAAAAAATGTAATTAAAGATTTATATATGAATTTCAATTACATTGTATGATATTTTTGTAAATAAGAATAATTATTGATATAATTCTATTGAAAGATGCCTCCGATTTATTATTTTATTTTATAACAGTAAATTGTGATAAAATTATTTAGATTCAAGATTTCAAAAGTAGTAGGATAATTACTGTTTATTATTTAAATTTAAAGACAATTCTACTTTTGGTCACTCAAAAATCCTCACCGAAATTTAATTTAGTTTGTTACTACTATGACATATATAATGTTATCTCTTAGTTAACACTGTGAACACTGTAAACCCAAAGTATCACTTTCAGGCTTCATTTATCTTTTCGGTGACATAATACTCTTAAAAATGGCAAAATATCCTCCTTAGTCAAAGTAAATAAATGCCTTACTTTTATACTAGCCAGTATACCAGCTTACAAGACTCATAACCTTACACTACACATTTAAAAAAATTGTTTAATATTTTTAAAAATGCAGTTATTTAGCAACCTATTTATCTTTGTATGTATGTGTATGTATATGTATATATATAAAGAAATGAGGATGTTATGACAGGGCTGCCGGGGGATGAACCAACGTTCGGGGATGGACAGCGAGAAGTTCGAAGGGTGATGATGATGTTCAACGAGGCTTCCGTCCACTTTCTGCCGTCCACTTTCTTCCGTCCACTTTCTGCCGTCCACTTTCTTCCGTCCACTTTCTTCCGTCCACTTTCTTCCGTCCACTTTCTTCACCAAATTCTTCTCCTCGCGCCGTTCTCGCAGCGCCAGGGATGGATGCAGTTGCACCTCCTTGTTTGCAGAATATACGTGGCGTGGTATCCTGATTAAGCTATTGCAGCGGTGGTTTCATGCCGGCCAGTGTGGAAGTTCGGAGCAGTTGTGAATCGGTTCGGTTTCGCGCTTTTCTGTTGGTTTCAGGATTGCGCACACGAGGATACCGTTTTCGTCCAGTAATTGAGCTGAACTAAAATTTTCACGGTTATTCGAGATTTTAAGACTTGATTGTTGCTTCTGACTCTCTAAAGAACATCGGGTGCGTTCACCATCGAAAGCTCTGACGATATTTTGGAGGGTTTCATCAAATCCAAGAAGAGCATCTTCCTTACAGTCTCGTGTAAAATCATTGATAGCATTCTAAGGACAAAGTTTAGCGAGCAAGCGATGAATTTTGACCCATTCTGCTCAGGAGCTACACTTCAGGTGGATGGTTGCACGCAGGAGGGTTATTAGCTCCTTCCAGCATCATTCTGTGATTAGCTTTTCAAGCGCTAGTTAACCTCTATTCTTAATTATTATTATTATTATTATTTTTAATCATGGTAGTCCTCTCCTTGTTCAGAATTTAGCATCGTCTGTAACTTCTGCATATCTGCTAGAGACACTTCAATTTATGCAGAACAGTGAACTTGCCTTAGGTAGTTATGCTCTCCGTATTGATCTTGTGGAGGAGGTATACACTCTATGCTTCATTTTCGGGCCTTGTATCGTCTCTGCTGCTATATTACACGTCGTAATGTTGTTCTCTCTCCCTGAAAACATGCATGTGCCACCGTACTCTGATTTTATGATCAGTGTCTATTTTCACCTACAAAAAAACATACCTCATCCTATTGACGTAAAAGTTTCGGGGAGAAGTTGTATTCTGTGCTGGAACTGGGCATGGTTTTTATCAGTGATAGAACTTTAGACACTCGTATCACCCGTGAGCGAGGTCTGACAGTAGATCGGGTGACATTCCTGATGTGATTCTGAAATAGTAAATGCAAGGATACGGAAAGCTAGAACAATAATGTTGTAGTCCATTACCCTCGCAGACAGTCTTAAAAATAATACACCGGAGGCCCAAGCCGAATCAATCTAATGAACTTGAGCTGATGCTGGGGGTTCGACTGTAGACATATTAGAACATGCAAGTTCATTGTCAAGTAGATGACAATAGGTTACAGATGCCTGAGGAATCGAATACAAACCCTATTCTTCTGATTATAAATTCTTTTCTAAAAGGCACAAAATCATATTGTCAACATCTCAAATGGAACCTTAAAACATGAAGGAATGAGTGCATAAGTGTCTCGTCTCATTTGTACATCTGGATCTTTCCAGTCACGGCTTGCACGTGTCTGATGATTAAATAATCATTTTGACTTTCGATTAGATGCCACATTTGCATGATTGTACCCACGTTCTCAGAGTCCAACTGATTTATTTTCTAAATTCATGGAAACGGGATTTGGAGAGAGGAAGCCTTCACCAAGTGCGAGGATGAGGAAGCAGTAATTGAGAAGGACGAAGAAGGCGTCGCTCCGAAACAGCCACCCCCTTCCCCGAATACAGATGCGCAACGAGCCGGTATCTCTCCAAGTTTATCTTCTTTCGACTGGCAAACCACCGCCTGGATCACCCAACTCGCCGCAGGAATAGGTTGAGTGCTCTGATTCCATGGGGCTCAAACGAATGCAAACCATCCAGGTAAATGTAGAAGCTTGACTTGCACATCCTCAACCGTTCGCGAAGCAAAACCAGGCTATTAGATGGCCGCTATAACAACTGGCGTGCTGATCGTTTTTCATCTGCTGCTGATTGAATATTGGGTTTCGTTGATTGGGAGGTAGTGTTCAAGCATTTTGGGTTTAGTGGCATTGGTGGAGTCTGCCACTGCCAGAGACGACGAGCATCAATCTGGGAACAGGAAGTAGAGGATGTAGTCGATTAGGTTGCGTGGGAGGCAGTTGAGCTGGTGATTGATGCTGTATTCGTGATGAGGAGCGTGTGTGTTTGTGAGAGGCGGTGTAAGCTGAGAGAGGAAATGCTGTGGGAGAGATGATAGATAGCAGCTTTTGGGTCTTTCGGTGGTGAGAGTTGGGGTTGAAGTGGGTGTGGCTGTGATGATGTGAAGGGGAGAGAGAGAGCGCGAGAGAGGGGGAGGGGGGAGAGAGAGCGAGCATTAGTGGAGCGGAAGAGTGAGGAATCGAGCAAGATGGGGGAGATGGATGCGGGATTTGCGAAGCTGCAAGGAGAGGATTTCGAGTATTATATGCAGACATATTCGATAGTGTTGGGGAGGAATAGCAAGAAATCGTCGGTGGATGTGGACTTGGCGGCGTTGGGAGGAGGAATGAACATCTCCCGTCAGCATGCGAAGATTCTTTACGACTTCGATCGGCAGCGGTTCGTGCTAGAGGTTTTGGGGAAGAATGGGTGTTATGTGGAAGGGGTGCTACACTTTCCTGGGACGTCTCCCGTGAAGCTGGATTCACAAGACCTTCTACAGATCGGAGAGAAGCGATTCTACTTCCTTCTCCCGGCGAAGAAGATTGCGCGCTCGGTCGCGGCCGTGCCAAGCCCTATTGTTCGTAGAAAACGGGCTGCAGTTGGTGCTGGTGGAGCACCTTCGGCGTCCTTGGTGCTGTCTTCTGCGCCCACACCTGCGCCTACGCCTGCAAGGAAGCCGAGAGGACAAGGGAAGAATGGCCAGGCTGGAGGGGATGCCAGGGAACGGAAACAGGCTGTTGTTGCTCCTTGGATGGGTCACCAAGAGGTGAAGCCTTCTCCTCCGCAAGGTAGCACCACGAGGGCGGCACGGGAAGGATACAGGCATGACGAGGATGAGGCGGACGTGGTACATGAACAGTTTGAGGAAAAAGAAGTGGCGAAAGCAGTATTAGAGAAGCTGCAAAGTCAGTATCATCCTGGAGAGTGGATGGCTGTGTCCAAATTGCATGCTGATATTGTAGACTTCTTCCAGAGCAGGCAAATGTCACCCCAGCTTATGCATGTCTTGGGCATGGATGAATACAGACAAGAACTAGACGGTAAAGGAAACGGCAAAGCTTGGTCGGGGCTCGTGAATCTCCTGAAGAAGTATCCTCGGCACTTTGTCATCAACACCAAGCTGAAAGGAGGAATTAGGGTTGAATATGTTTCGCTTTATCCTGAGGAGCAATAGTCGACTCCCAAGGATTCGGTGAGGCAAAAGTAGTCTCGTTTTATTTATTTATTTATTTTGTAACTCTCTCTACATAGTCTGTCCAGTTCAAGGTTTGAGGATGACCATGTAATTATTTGCGTGAAGCCGTGGAGATGCAACTCCGAAGGCGTTGGTGATGCAGCGTGCATTCGGTGCGGTCATTTGGTCATAGATATATCCAATTGTTAATTCAATTCGGGACTTACAAGGATGGTATCCACGGCATTCAACCCGTGCTGACAGGAAGAGAGAGAGCTCGCCCACGCGAGAGAGAGATTATGGTGAAATTCTTTCTGTCTGGATGAATACAATAGACAATCGCCTCTCTAGATTAGGGCTCCTCCACATGTGTATTTGACCTTGTCGGTAATTTTTTTAGAAATGCAACGTCTCCATCTAGTTGGGATCTACATTCGATTCTGTTGCAGTATTTCCCTGCTACAAATATGAACGATGTGATAGTTCGGACACTACACATTGTGCACGAATGTTTTGTTGTGTGGGGATTTCGGTCTTTGGTTTTGCTCGAGACAAAGCAGAATTGTATAAACGGTACAGAGGTTGGTTGTGGTATTAATAAGAATAGGACTAACTTGGCTCTGATTTGCAGTCTTGGTTTTTTATTTATTTTTATTTTTTATATCAATGGCAGAAATCCAGCAATTCATGTTATGCCAGCTTGTTTGGATACGTGAGCTCTTTTCTCCTGCCAGCCATGAATCTTGTGTCTGGACTTGGAGTTGCCTGGTTCAACACCAGGTGACTTCAGCTTCCTTTTTGCTATAAGAAACCTCGTCAAATTCTGGTATTGGTTGTTAGTGGGTGTTGTTATGTTCTTATGTTCACGCCATCAATCAACAAACTGTGTTCGTCTCACAATGTCTCTTGAAAGAACGACGAGCTGCATAGTAGACTCCCGCCTCGTTATTTGTTTGTTTGAGTTTTTGTTTATTGCAGGTTCGGATTCAAATCTGTTCAAAGTAAGTGAACGATATGGTTGGATATAGAGGTATCGCTGAAGTTCAATCTTGTCGAAACTAGAACCGTAAGAGACTAGAATCGATACTTTTGGATGCATTGCTGTTGGAGAGCGATTATATAAACTACAGCGCACGTTATGCACAATTGCGAAACATATTATGCAGCATACTAGAGATTTAAGCACCAATCAGAAGGCAAGCACATGTGGTGGATGCTGAAGTGTTTATTCATTTTGTAACCTCTAGAATTATTTTTTCGGTAAATTCGACTTTTGATTTCTATGTAAACAATATTTGATATATGTTTTTAATTTTCGTATTTTCTGTGCATAATTTTTTTTTTTTTTTTTTTTTTTTGTTTTTTTTTAATTATTTTTTAATTATTATTTAAGAATCAGAAATTGTTTTGATGTAGGAGATGTTAAATTCAATGTCATTATGTCACTGGTAAGAATTTTTCACTTGTAGTGGTTTTTTGTTTATCTTGTCTTGAAAAAATTCCTTCTGTCTGAACAGAAGTTTGAATGTAGTTTACTAATATGAATGCTTGAATGTTCAAAACTTATTTATGAGAATAATTACATATTATAATTGGATAAGACAAATACTGCTAGTTTTAAAAACACATTTTATAATATTTACAATAAAAGCTTCAGACATGAGGTTATATTATATGCGGATTTGATGTTCTTAATGACATTATGAAAAATCATTACTTTAAATACCCATCAGCAGTAGGTCCAAAATGTTCTCATACCATGCATGTAACACTATGTCAGCTCATTAGATAGAAATTGCTTGATTTTTATCTTAATTTGTTTAAATTTCATCAAAATAAAATAAAATAATGCATTTTCACTTCTGATTTAATTAACAAGAATATTTTATGTGTGTATTGTAGATTAATTTTGGTAACTCCACAAATAGACTTTTTATTTTTTTATTTCTAAATGATTGTATTCAGTTTATTTTATGTAGTGGTTGTGAAAATTTCCAAATTTTGATAAATATATTAAAAATTTGACTTGTGTGATTTGATGGTAGATACTTCCTACCACTACTAATATAGAATTATATTATGCTTATAAGAATATTTATTCATTTAAAATTTAAATTACTTTTAAGATAGTTTCAATAAAAACTTTTGTGGAAAATATATTGGGTTTTATACCTATGCAATCTTTTATACGAGATATTAGTGGTTCTCATAATTTCTATTATTTTAAGAGCTAATAATATAAATACTATTATAAGATTATACTTCTATATCCTAGCCAATTCTATATTAATTTTCTTATAAGTCATTATCAAAGACTATTGCATGATTAAATAGAAATGTCTTAAGATAAATAATATTAAAAAGAATAAAAAAGAAAATTCAATGTGATCCAAAAAAATCTAAACTTGTGCTATTAGAACTAAAATAATTTAACACATTTTATTCAGATAGATTGTTTAAAACAATTGAGTTGTTAAAGTTGCTTAAAATATTGATAAAACATACTAAGGTGCTATCAAGAAGAAACTTTTTTATAATAAATATTAATCTAATAAATACTTATTTTCTTACTTTAATAAAATTATAATTTTTTTTTTCAGTTTTTATATTAAAAATTTGTATTATTGTTTTAAACAATAAATATTTCTTTAAATAATTGTACTCGAGTTATCAAATTTTTCTAAAAAAATAAGCATCAAATTCAAAACTCAATACATTCTATTGAAGAAAAGAAGTCTAAAAGCTACAAACACTTAGCATCAATAAGGATTATAGTCTAAGAGAAGTGTGGAGAAAGATAATTCTTACTTCAAACACTCTTTACTTATAGGTGGTGGTTTGCTCACCAACAAGGCAACTTCCATCCTTTTGATATTACATCCATTTCTACCTCATCCAATTAAATCCTTGATGCCACCACAATAACTTATTTTAACTCTTTGCTACGTTTTTATTATTAACAACATATTATGCTTAATCTCTATGTGGTTGTAACTAAGCAAGTACTTGCTGATCTTCAATACTCCTACTTTGCTAATATTCAAAAGGCTTTTAATCCTAATCTCTGAATCAAGTCATGATGTCTATCCTTCACTAATGCCTTTGTAAGCACATCAGCAAGCATGTCATTTGTAGCACAATACTTCATACCTATTATTCCATCTTCAATCTTCTCTCATATGAAATGATGTTGAACATCAATGTGCTTGGTCTTTCACTGGTTTTTTGGATTCTTGGCAAGTGCAAGACATCTTTGATTTTTACACATAATTAGAGTTGCTTCTAATTGGACTAGACCAATGTCTTCTAAGAGTTGCCTTATCCAACACGCCTCCATTGCACAATGATTTGCTGCCATGTACTCTACCTCCATCATTGATCTTGCAATGGTAGGTTGTCTCTTGTAATTCCATGAAATGGCTCCCACTCCAATGAAGAATACATATCATGTTGTGGATCTTCTATCATTTGCATCTCCAACCCAATTTGCATCACAATAACCTTGCAAGTCAATATTCTTACCACCAAGGCACAATTTGAAGTCTTTTGTATCTTTTAAGTATCTCAATATCCTCTTTACCATTCTCCAATGCATTGGTCTAGCCTTAGATATGTGTTGGCTTACAACACTCATAACATAAGCAAGATCCACTTTTGTGGCCACCATTGCATACATGAATGAGCCTATTGCTGCCTTGTATGGAACACTTTGCATCTCACCTTCAACATGTGCAAACTCCTCATCCGTGAGCTTCATCAACTTCAAATTTGCCTCCAAGGGTGTTCCAATAGGCTTGTACTCCTTCATGTTGAATCGTTTCAACACTTCTTCAATGTACTTAGTTTGGCTCATTGTAATGGTCTTATTACCATGATCTCTTATAAATTCCATTCCCAAGCAATAGTGTAACTCTTCCAAATCACTCATCTCATATTCCTTCTCTAATTTGGCCTTCATCCAATCCATCTTTTCTATATTATTAGCCAAGATGATCAAATCATCAACATAAAGGATTACAATCAGCAAGAACTCTCTAGATTGCATCATGTACAATGAATGATGAGCTTCACTCCTCACAAATCCTTCATTGACAAAGAAGGTGTCAATTTATTGGTACCATGCCCTTGGTGATTGTTTCAATCCATACAAGAATTTCTTCAATTTGCACACAAGATGTTCTTTGACTTGTTGCGCAAATCCTTGAAGTTGGTCCATGTAGATGTCTTCTTGTAATTCTCCATTCAAAAAGGCCGTCTTTACACCCATTTGGTGAATTTCCAAATCCATTGCTGCCTCAATTGCTACAATGGTGCTAATGGTGGTGAATTTAACAAGTCTCATTGAAATCAATTCCAACAACTTGTGAGTATCCTTTTGCAATTAATCTTGCCTTGTGCCTCACTACCACACCCATTGCATCTCTTTTAGTCTTGAGGAAAGATGTGATTCTTCTACCATTCGCCACATTGCCTTCTTTCTCTCAAAGGATATTTCCTTTCACTTGTAGAAGAACATTCACCTTCTTGCACTCCTTATTCTTTTCCAACTCTTAAACCTTGTCGTTTTTCATTCAATGGTTGGTACTCTTCATCATTATTGTAGAATAGATATTAATTTGTTTTTGAAAGCTATTAGTAAAATATATTAATAGTCCATATAATAGGAAATTCAGGAGGATGGATGAGTGATTTAGTTATCAAAAGTAATTAATTATAGAATTACGATTAGAATCTGGAAAATCAGGAGAAAGTATATAAGAGTTGTAGAAGTTAATTAAGGTGCCATCCCTGTGATAGTGTGAGCCGGGATAAGCTTGGTGCTACCTCTTATCTTTTGTTTGTTATTTTCTTTGAATAAGAGGATTGAGAGTTTCTGAATATTGTGAAGTGAATTATGGAATGGAAATATCATTGGTATTATTTGAAAAGAAGAAAGATTGAATGCTAAAATCTGATTGTAGTTCAACAGAGAGAATGAGTCTATGTTTGTATGAAACACTATAATGTGAATGGCAATTCTGTGTGAAGAATTCCAGTGATTGGAATGAGGATAATTGTGTGCTGAAAGCTGTGAGGGCGCAGTATTACAGTTGGAGATTATGAAGGTGAATATATTGGTGGAAATAGCAGTTATTGATATGACTGAATTGCTGTAAGGAAGAGACCGATAAGGTGAAGGAGGAGATTATAGTTTCCTTGTATGTTCAGATATTGGAAATAGAGATGATACATTCAGGAGGTAATTGATTGTGTGACCCTAACGTGAATGCTTAAGCAACTAGTCATTCCCCATGTTTGAATCTCCCTATATGGATTTATTCTGGGAGTTTTCTTCAAGAATAAGTAAAACGAGCAATCACATTTTGGCGCCGCTACCGGGGAGTGATAATAGCTTTGAGTATTAGGAATTAATTACCAAACATGTGAGAAAATTGGCAATGGAAGACGATTTTAGTAGTGTTTGAAGCAAGATTATGGTTAATAAGAATGAGAG